CTTATTTCATCCTCAAAGGCAACACAGTCTGTTGAAGTCAAGCTAGGTCTTTGCCTTGCAGAGGGATTTTGTTTTTCTAAGTTTCCTGGTATGTCTGTATCCAGGCACAAACTAGACATTCATGACATGTCACATATGTTTCCTGTACCTATGAAATCTATCTTATCTGCTTCCTCAAAATATCCTTTGTATTAATAATTCCAGTTCTGCTACTGTAATTACTTTCATATAATCAAATACCTATGTGTGTTAGTTCTTCAATTGAGTGCCTAGAAAATGCCAGCCATTGCGCTAGTATGAAGGTTTGAAAGAATGCATAATATAGTCATTGTTCTGGAGGATCCAAGTCTAATGAACACATCAGATAACTACAGAAATAATCTAAGCCAGTGATGGTGAATCTTTTAGAACTTTCCTTGATAACAGTTAGCCCACATGCCATGGTTCACCACTGCTGATCTGACCGACAGTTTGGTTAGTAAGTACTGTGATGATAATAAGTACACGGGTTTTGGACCATAAAGGAGACACACCAGTCAGTTAGGTTGCCTCTCTTGATTGTAGTACTAAAGCATGCCAGTCTGTTCCACATTTAGTTTACTTCCTCAGGCATTGTTTCCTCTGTGCCACTTCTGTGATCAAAAACATAATTGTTCTTAGTTTGTCTCTTTTCCCTATTACTTTTCTAATTTTGTGTCATGCTACCCTAAAGAGAACTTTCTTTTTTCAGTCTAGGCTTTTTGTACCACCCTAGAAATGTGCCATACTCATTTTCAAAATGATCTTCTCTAAATGACTTTTAAATTTTGTTCTCCCTGTCCTTTTATCTAAGTACTGACCATTTTCTAAGATTTTACATAGTTGCTGCTATTAGCTCAAACAATGTAATCTGTTAAATTTATCTGCTTCTTTATAGCAGTTAAAAAGTTTATCATACAGCATTGCCTTATCTTGTATTATTTTCTCTCCAGAGAGATTGTAAGCTCTTCAGATCAGACATCCCTGTGATGATTTTGTATGTTTCATAAGCTTGGTCAGCGCTGTGCTCAGAAACTGTCGAGTTTGAAGTAGAACATTCTCAACATTAAAATTTGATAGGGGACAGATTATATTCCTTTGACCTCTTGGCAAAAGGATGTTTGATTGAAATTTTTTTATTTTTATAAAAATGTAAAAGGAAGAAATTAATTTACTAAATTATTTTTCTTTACTGTCAGTTGTAAATGCCAAATTGCTGGAGGTAACAGAAAAATCATTTGGCATAAGATACACGGGTTGAGATGATTAGTTTTTTATTTAATAGAGTATGCCATTCTGAAAAAAGCACCAAACCTGAGTTGTGTCTTCCTCATCTGTAAGATGAAATTAATATTACTCAAGGTTGTGAAAATGAAATGAAGAAGTGGATATGGAATGCTTTGTAATCATTAGGATATTATATCAATCTTTGGTTGTTTTATTTTGGTCACATCTTAGATGATAGTTGAGTTTATATTTTACAAAAGTACTTATTTCTAGCTAGGTGTGGTGATGTATGCTGTAATCCCAGCACACGGCAGTGTGAGGCAGGAGTGCTGCAAATTCAAGAACACTCCGGGCTACAAAGTGAGCTCAAGGCCAGCTTGGTACAGGCCAGCCTGTATAGTGAGACCCTGTCTCGAAAAGACCCACCCCCCCAAAAAATTCCTATGTGATATACTTTCTAGAATCGCTAAATAGTGATAGTAACTTCTCTGCTTTTTCCAGGGCAGGTTTACCTTGCTCCCTATAAAAAAGAGTGGACTTTTTATTCTAATCAAATGAGTTTGTTATGGTAAAGGGCTTCTAGCAGGGACACTTCAGCCAGACCCAGAGTACTGGACTTCCTGGAAAAGTTAGCCAAGGGAAGATCTAAGGAAGGGGATAAGAAAATGATAAGAGATAGACAGCTAGACCACATTGTTAAAAAGGGGGAAAAGTGGTGATTATCATCTCATTTTAACACTTTTTAGTGAGGATCTGCTGGCATCTCTGTTTGTAACCACTGAGTAGAGCTTATTCACTGAGCCTTGTCATCTCTTTTCCCCTTCTAGCATAGGTATGTTTACTATTACAAACAAAGCCAAAATTACTTTTCCTTTGACATTACTCAATTGTATTAGTTGTGTTTTCTGTAGTCTGTATTTATTCTGTGGCCACCAGATGCCTCCTTCATGCTTTTTGTAAACTGTTGGAAGAAGACTACAGGGCCTGGGATGTGTTTCAGTGCTAGTCTGTTGTGTGGAAAGGGGCCAGGGTGAGGGACGACAAAAAGAAACTGAAAATTGGTTTTGGAGGAGTTTTTGCTTTTGTCTGTAAAAATATTTACTTTGAATGTTTGGCATATATTCATAAAGTTATGCAGGGGCGCACATAAACCTCATTTCTGCTTAGTGTAGGAATAATGGAGAGGAAACTGGGAAAATATTAGGTTTTGAAGTCATGAATACGGTAGAATACCCAGAATAACACATGACACAAAATATGCTAAACATATTTTGCTGGGTAAGCAAATGTGCTGTATGTAATGTAGACAAGGATACAAGAGAAGGAAAGAGAATGAAAATACATGGCTAGCTGCTAGATTAAAATCTCTGAGCTAATGAATTGATAGTAAGCCCATAAGAAGATAATAGACATTCATAACCAGGCAGGAACCTAGATGTGGTTTCTTATAACTGCTGTATTTTAATCATGTATCAGAACTTGGTAAAAACTTAAGTAAACTTCATTCAATTTAGACTCATAATGAAACGTTGTTACTTATCTTAACCAAATAGTAGATTTGAGAAGTAGTTTTCCAAGAGGGATAAATCAGGTTCTATAAGATACAGTCTTACAGAGCTAATGAAAGAAAAAAGCAGACAGTTTCAGTGTCTGATGCCATTCAAAAGCTTGTGGGAACAATCCATTTTTAACACTTTCCTAGTTCTTAATGCTTTTTTTTTTCTGTAATAAATGGCAGGTGATAATTATGGGAAAGAATTAATACTTTTCTTTATGATGCTGAGGATCATACCCAAGGTTTTGTATCGTTAGGCAGGTGCTCTACCAGTGAACTGTACTGCTACTCCATTACCAGGTATTAAATGCCAATGAATATGTTTGGTGATGGAAATATATACTTACTTGTTGATTTTTTTTTGAGTCATTTTCCCTTTACTTTCTACAAGATCTTATTTCATAAATAATGCAATTTTCTTAGAATTGTAACTTTTAAGATTGGCCAAAAAAAATTTACTATGTATCATAGATCTCTGCTATTTGAAAAGAAGGAAACTCAAATGCTTAATAGATATTTAGGGGACTTTCATTGGGATAGAAAAAAAATGGGTGAGCTAAAAAAACTTTAGTACTATCTAACAATGATCTTAATATTCTCAGACTTTCTGTTTCAAATATTTTGTAAATATTCTGATACTATTCTGAAATTAATAGTGTAACATAAAATTTCAAAAATAATGCCTTTCCTTATAATACAAAAAATAAAAATATAAGTTATTACATTGCAATATAAATATTTAGAGCTAACTACAGGACAACACTTAATGAAGTATGCACTGATCATGGATGTGTGGTATGGATGACTCAAATACAGTGAGTGCCACTGAATTGGTGATCTGATTTTCCAAAATAATTAATTTTTGATAAAAAGTGTGTCTGTTTTATTTGTAAGGTAAGTATAGTACTGAAAAATTCAGCTGGGCATGGTGGCATCTGCCTGTAATCCTAGCACTTGGAAGGCAGAAGCATGAGGATCACCAAAATAATGAGTTTAAAACTAGCCTGAGCTACATAGTGAGATCTTGTTAAAAAAAAAAAAGTACTGAAAGATTCAAGTATTTTAAAAGCATGTTATTCAAAAAGAGCTTTTTATTTGTAATCTTGTGGTCAGAAATTTCCAGACATTTCCCCAGACTTGTGAAATACCTTTTGGGGGTGGCAAATGTCCTCTTTCCCATTTTGAGGACCACTATTGTATAGAAGCATATAGTGTTATAGTGTTCTGTATGAAGAGAACAGTCCTGACAAATAAAAGAGAATATTTTTAAAACATTTCATTCATATTTGTTAGTTTTAACCTGTTTTTTAGTTTTGAGTTATTTTTTACTCACCTGTGCTCTAAAACCAATCACGAATTTGTGAACTCCTTGGTCATTGGTAAAACTATTATTGTGGAATACTATTCCTGGTGAAATGTAGCTAGAATAAAAAAAAGACTAGTGAATGCTGTCTGTAAGAAATATGAATAATTTTAATAATTTTTTATCAATCTCCTTAAAAGATGACTACTTAAAATAGTAAAATATACTATGTTGTTTCTAAGCAGTTTAAAAATACAGTTTATGACAGTAGTAGAACAAAGAATGGGAAATAAAAGTATAGTTGCAAGGCTCTTGAAGCCCATATGAAATGGGATAATATCACGTAAAGAGTTTAATAAATGATATATTGAAAGTTCTAAAGCATCCATTAAAAAAAGGAACAAAACCCAACATGGTACAACTAATAAGGCAATAAAACTGAGAAAATGGAATAATAGTCTAAACAAAGTCCAAAAAAGTGGGGGAAAGTGAACAAAGTGATCTCTAATACAAGGTCAGATAAGTTTCATGAACGGGTGTTTATACTCCCCTCTCCCAGACCTTGAGCACTGAAGGTAGCCCGAATTCTTTCATATTCAAAGGACTGGCTCCCCCTTTCTAGAAGAACTCAATTTTGTCTTTATTGAAGTGTCTGTCATTACTCAAGGCATCTCCTACTTTGTACATACTCTCCTGTTTTATGGCTTCTACAGTTACTTGTCACCTGTCTCTGTCCCCTCTCTTTAGCCCGCCAGGTGGAAAGGGATCAGTGCTATGACTTTGTCAGTAATATCTGTACATGCCAATCCAGGATGTAGTATGACAAAGTGGAATAAGTTGAGCTTTGATATTTGTGATGTCTCAACACCGCACCTTTTTTTCTTCCTCTGAATTCAGAGACATGAAAAATGCTGTCATTGGAAACAACAAACAGAAAGCCAACCTCATTGTTTTAGGAGCTGTTCCAAGGTATGTTTGGTATCAAACACTTTTTTCTGCCTTTTAAGCTAAGTTTCACATGTATTTCTTATCTGTAATAGTAAGATTCCCCTTTTTAATATTACCTTCTCTATTTTTAAAATGAATCATTTTTTAAAAAGGAAATGTTTTGAAGTACATCTCTAAGAAAAAATGTATATATAAAATACCAGAAAATGGAATGAAAAGTGAATATTCACTTTTCAGAAGATCATTGCCTTATAATGCAAGTGTTTGTTGAATACCCAAGTAATGATACTTTTTCCCATCTCCTTAGAGCCCTTGCAGTTTTTGTGTGGGTGGGTAATTTATTAAGAGTCTCAAGACCTTTTTGAATTTAAAGTGAAAAAACCTTGATTTTTTTTCCTGATTTTAAGAATTTTCTATTTTTTAAGTTAACATAGGAAGTTTGATTTGTTCTTCTGATGACCTAATGAGCTTCATTTTGGCAGGCAATAATAGTTATATAACTTCTCTTTGCCTCCTTTGCTACACAAACTAAGTTTTATATACAGTTATTGTAAGTTTTTATGTAGACTTTGGAATTTTGTTTTTTTTCTTTTGATACAGAGTTAATGATTTCAATATTTTTAACATTAACAACTTCAAATATATCCTTTAGTAGTCACAAAGCTCTTAGCAGCCTTTCTTAGGGGACTTGTGTTTTAGGGAGTGTAGAGTGTTAGAACATAAGGGAAATGGTCATAAGTGGTAAAGGGTTAGAGTTTAAAGACCACTTGTTTAGCAGGCTGGGCTGTAGTGGAAATGGGAAGATTTTCTCATTTTGCAAATAAAGATGTAGACAGAGAAGAAAGCTTTCCTTGCCTGAAGAGCTGCATAAGAACTGAGTATTCTATAATTTAGGCTAGTCCTCTATTGTCTCATCACCACAGCTCTATTCAGGACCCAATTCTAGCTTAAATTTAATATGCAATAGTACCTGATATTGGGAGTCTTCATATTCTGCTCCCCGAGGAAATAGCAGATAATGTGGATTACAGTTTCAACAGAGACCTCACCGACACAACTTTCATACCTACAGTTTGAGATTATTATGATAGTCCTTTGCTCAAAACGAAAATCTCTTTTGGACTTTTTCCAGATGTTTCTTTACTGAATTAGTAGGTGATATAAATAAATAACCATTACTCAGAAGGATGAAGAAAATCTCAATCAATCATGTTTCTAGTTTGTAGAATATACTGGAGCCTTCTGTTAACACACTAGTCACATTAATTTGGTTTTATGTTTTAGTCTCTTTGTTTATCAAGTTCCTTCCTTTTAGATTGTTGTATTTGCTTCAGCAAGAAACGTCAAGCACTGAGCTAAAAACTGAATGTGCAGTGGTACTGGGAAGTCTTGCTATGGGTACTGAAAATAATGTCAAGTCTTTATTGGACTGCCATATTATTCCTGCCTTACTGCAAGGTATGTAGGAAACCATTTTTGCATCAGTAAAGATTAAAGTTAGTTTTTAGAGCTTTAAATTCTGGTTGAAATGTCATGTAATTTCCGTTAATAGGACTACTGTCCCCAGACCTGAAGTTCATTGAAGCTTGTCTCCGATGCCTTCGTACTATCTTTACCAGTCCTGTCACTCCAGAGGAGCTACTGTATACAGTGAGTTTTGGATGTTGCTGAGTCGTTAATTATATTTCTTTAATAGCCTACTCCTAATTGGCTTAGCCTTTCCAAACTCCTAATTGTGATATGTAGAAAAATCTCAAGAAGTATTTGAATTTTTCCTTTAAAAATATCAAATGTTTTAGGCTTTGTAAATAAGCAATAGTTTCAGACCTTAAACAATTTATCAGTTGTTAAAAAGAAAAAGAGCCCATTTTATCTCTGTGACAAATTAAGAGAATATATTTTATGCCACTCAGTTTGGGTTTAAATCCAAAAGAGTAGGTATTGTAGAGAAGGTAGAATTTAACCTGGATCTTACATGAATAGGTGAGATTCACCGAAATGGAGCAGAAGAGGCCATTCTGGGAAGGATCTGTATAAGATTTACAGTACGGTAGGCAGAATGATCTCTATGGGGAGGTCATGATTTTTCCAGCTAAAGAGGTGGGGGCAGAACCAGTTTCTAGAAGGCTTACTTGCCAGCTAGAATCAGAGAATACCTATGAAAGAGAACCCAGAGATGTTTGGAGTTGATGGTTTTCAAAGCCTCAGGGATTATGAAGGGATCTTTTAATCTATTGATAAGACTCTTAATGAAAATTATCTAGACCAATATTTTTGAAACAACTTACCTACGATCCTCAGTGACAAATATATTTTCCATTGCTTTGTCTTACACATGTGAACTTGTTTATATGTTTGGATCCTGAAACAAATATCATAGCAGTTACACAAATGTGACGCCTTCTACTTTCTGTTTTGTTTCTCATTTTTAAAAAAAAGAGGCCAATAGTTACTCTGAGCTTACTTGAAGAAACAGTTGTCAAATTGAATACATACAAATCTTGAGATCTTGGCAAGAATAAAGTATTTCAAGCATATAAGCGAAAAGAGGCATAGGCAAAGCAAGTGTGGAGAGTGAGGATGTCGTGACTTTATGGTCCATCCTTTCTCCATTAGACACATACTCTTCTGTCTTCAGTGATACATATGGCTTGTAAATGAGATTTGTGGATCACTTTACACAGTAATAATTGTCTAAATTATGACCCATTGTAATTTGATATGTAGAGTTTTGTGTGACATTCTTCAAAAAGTCATGCCTCATAAATCCATAAATTGTTTGCTGTAGTAGTTGTCAATTGAGCATGTCCCAAAATTACTTGGAGGGTTTATTAAATACAGATTGCTGGATCTTGCGTCTAGATTTTCTCATCAGTAGTCTGGTGTAGAACCCATGAACTTTTACTTCAGGTTTGTGGAGTGCCTTCTACTCAAAGCATTCCACAGAGATGGACTTTACTAGTATCAGTCTCTTTCCCTTAAATCGTATTCATCTTTACAAAGAGTTAAACCAGTCATTTGTCTGCTGCACTCTTAAGAATTTCTCACCCACTGCAGCCTAGGGATAATAGGTGGAGTAACTGATGCTAGCCAGCAGTTTGAGCTCCTTCATCACTCTCTAAACTGATTCATGTCTCACTAATGAATCATGGTGCATAGTTTGGAAAAAGCCAGTTTAGGCCAACATAACTACTTTACATGAGAACAATTAAGACCCAGGGAGGTTAAATTTATGCAGTGAGATAAATTATGAAATGTCTTCATTTGATACCTCAGATTTTATACCTCAGAGACAATTTAAAAAGCCTAAAAGTGTTAGATGAAGGGATAAAAGTCTTTCAGTATAATTGACTGTATAACTTTGTAACTCACGAGTTGTAAGTATTAAGTCAAGCACTAAATAGAGACCAAGGCAGTCTAGTTAGAAGAGGGTAGGATTTCTAGTTTCAAATTCTGTTCATCAGATGAGTAACTTTGGGCAATTATATAACTTGAGGTTTTTGGATTTTTTTTGTTTGTTACTTGTTTTTGTTTTCTGGTATTGGGGGTTTGAACCCAGTACCTTCTCACTTGACTTGCTTCCCCAGTCTTTTTTTTTTTTTTTTAATTTTTGAGTCAGGGTCTCACTAAGCTACACCGACTGGGCTCAAATTTACAATCCTCTTGCCTCAGCCTTCCAGAGTGCTGGGATTACCAAGGTATACAACCATACTCAGTTTATGTAACTGTTTGCCTTGCTCAGTCGTCTGTAAACTGCAGATATATAAACACAGTTGACAGGGAGCAACATAACCCATAACAAGATGAGTTATGTTGAAACTGTGGAAAATTGGGAATAAAGAGAACAACAGAGGGAAGGAGTTAGAAGTACTTTCAGAGACTAATAAAGTCTCTGCTGCTTCTTGCTTCCAAGTTTTCTGTCAGTGGAATCTGTTTCCCCTTCCCCTACTTGATGTTCTCATTTTCTCTCTTATTATTTAGTATTTAACTTTGAGGTTTTCTGAGTTTAGAATTTTTTTTTAAAACTCCTTGTGACAACACAGAAGACAATACTGACAAATGGGGAAAAGGCTCCACTTTTAGAGAATCAATAGCTTTTTATTTTCCTACTTAAGTTTTATACATTTTGGGTGTCCCATCCCATGTATGTATATGCGTATATGAGTGTACCTGCTAGGTCTGAACCTTGAACCTCATGCTTGCTAAGCAAGTGTCTAGCTCTTGGGCATTCTTTTACTACTTGTCTCTGTTATCATTTGTGAGAGTCTTGAAATGTGGACCAGAATAATAAGCTTTTTTGTGGAGCCAGTTAGGATACAGACTGTTAGACCCACAGAATCAGAATGTATAAATGAAGAACATCCTTTGGAAATTTACAGTACATTTCTACTTGAGAAGCATAGTTCCAACACTTGCAACAGCTTTGATTAGAACCTTTTCCATCTGTGCTTCAGGCCCAATTCTCTTTCAGTATGTAATTTCTTTGGCATTTATAAGGAATTCTTGGAGAACCCTGAAGCAGGGCAGGTTGATTCTTTTCTTTCCTATGCCACCATCTAAGTCTGAGCAGTAGGCAAATAGTGGACTTTATGTGAGAAGTTGCTAATCATGTAAATTGTATTGTGCAGATTGGAAATACCTAAGTAAGGTCATTTTTATAAAAGATTGTAGTAGTTACTGATCTTATTATAACATCTCAAGATGAAAATTGTCAAGGTTTTATGTAGTAATTCTTGCTTATGAGCTGTTGTGTATCTTATTAATCATTTCACATTTTTGTTTCAGATCTGATTGAAATGAAATTGTTATATTTTTTTGGAATCTTGTTTAAATGATATTGTTACATTTTGATAATTCATTAAAAAGGAAGATTCATGCTATATTGATTGGAGAATTTTTTATGCCCATATCTTGTACACTGAGTAACTGCTTTGACAATGACAGTATCCAATGTATTATTGTTCTTCTCCTATTATTGTGTTATGAATTTCAGTATTACTTTTTTAAATAAAATCTTTAAAAAGTAGAGATTGTTGTATTTTGAGAATATAGGCTTTTTATGGGAAAGATTCAGTTTCCTGTCCTTATATTTCATGGAAGTCCCTTTTCTTATTCTTTACTTAGACAATTTCAGTGGCCACGTTGCTTTTGTTCTGCTCCATTCTCTGATGTAATACCATTTAGATCTGTGTACCTCCTTGTGGAAACACATTGTCAAATGGATGCACAGTGTCTCAGTTTCTTTCTTTCTTTCTTTTTTTTTTTTTTTTTTTGGTACCAAGGATCGAACTCATGACTCAGTGCTTACCAGACAGGCGCTTATGCTGCTGAGCCAAATCCCCACCAGTGTCTCAGTTTCTTGTACTCATTCTCTCCTTTTCTTTCACTCCAGGATGCCACAGTGATACCGCACCTCATGGCGCTGCTTAGCAGGTCCCGCTATACCCAGGAGTATATCTGTCAGATCTTTTCACACTGCTGTAAAGTAAGAACCAGAGTAAATGTTTGCTATAATGTAACATCTTAGATGCTCTTAAGAGATGTGTCTTATTTATGTGTCCTTTCGAAGATAATCTTACATACTTAGGTAGACTTATTAAGGAACAAAAATAGGCTACTAATAATATTTATTGAAATTCTCACTTCTAATTTGTTGCCAGCTCTTAAGCAGTTAGTCACTCAGGTTTCTGAGACTTATTTTGGGGAGTTTAAGACCACAAGTGTTTATGTCTTTCCACCCAGTAGCTACTGCCACACTAACTAGTAGATACGTGTAGCTTGATTTGAAGAAAGGCAAAAGAGAAACTTGTTAAGAATCAAAGGATAGAAAACAGAGTTGGTGAACAATAAAATACCTTCACTTCCTATGTCTTTATCTTTCTACTGTACAAGAGAATCATTTTAAATAGACAGATGAGAAATAGAGAACCCAAGACACATTTACTTCTCAGCTATGGAGAATTATGTTTCTTCCTGATAGTACATTACTGAAATCCTTTGTGATATGTGGTAGATTAGGTTCCTTGCAATTAATTTTAGAATTTTCCCTGAGTAGTCATCAGTCCTGAGTTGTAAGAATGATGGTGTCACTCCTTCCTTAGGCATTGGGAAATAGTATGCACATGAAATGCAGAATTCACAATAACTTTATTGGCTGTGGTATACTGTATAATAATTGGAAAGGCCTGTTCTAGGGTAACTTTTCTATTCCCTTCCTTACTTGGGGGAGGCAAAGAGGTAGCAGTTGTAAAACTGGGGTGAGGCACATATGGCAGTCCCTTGTAGGATTAAAAATGTTGTTTTCCTTGCTTTTTGGAATAGAATTTTGCAAGCAAAGGTTATTCTGTAGTTCATCTAGCTTTCTACATTTAAGTGGGTATGGTTTTATTAAAATGAATTATAATTTTCTTAATGTATTATTATTTCTTTTCTTACAGGGGCCAGATCATCAAACAATTTTATTTAACCATGGTGCAGTTCAGAATATTGCTCACCTCCTAACCTCACTATCCTACAAAGTAAGATGTTAAAATATGGCTAAGTTTTTAACTTGTTTTTGGTATATAGAAAGAGACCCAAATATTTTATTGCTTCTTTGATAAGTATGGGTATTGTGATCGGCAGTATTTTATTGGTGAAATGTTATAGGGTTTATGCTACCTATAAATGTTTTTACTGAGAAAAAAGAAAAGTTGCCTTTCTATCTCTATTTCTTTTTCAGGATATGGTTGTGCTATTGATTTTCACCAGTAACTGTATTTCAAGTCTTTCCTGGTTAGGTTTCAGTGCCTAAGCTGCTACTTGAGGTGATGCTTTCAAATATCAGTGGTTGGCTGTATGAGGAAGGATTATAGATTTCTTATCTGAAGCCTTTTTTACCTAGAGTGACTCAAACTCATACCATATAACCCACATATACAACAACATTTAAAATGTATTCTATTTTGTATTTTGAGTTAAAAAGTCAACAGTTTTCAGACTTAGACTTTGGGTATTGATTATTACCTAACTACCAAGTTTTAGCAAATATTAGAGCTAGTTATAGCAGAATGGGGATGCAGTCACTTGCTCTTTTGGTCTGTAGCTTTATTTCAGGTGAGACCTGCTAGTATGTCTGTTTTTCCTACCTCAGATATCTGAAGTTTAGTCTTGGTGAAGTACTCACAAAAATAGGAATGGGAATGTAGACAGATTGAAACTAACCAGAGGCAGGAAAAGAGAGTACATGCTAGAACTACTACCTCTGCCCTGTACTATGCAGAGGCTGAAATCAGTTAGTGCTTGCATGTTAAGAAACAGCTGTTGATTGTCCCGTCACTTTGTCATTCTTAAGCTTCATTAATTTACTCCCATTTTCTTCCATTTCTAGTCCTTTCTGCACTAGACTTAAATACTGTTAAAACTTGAAGATTGTGGAAGGGGCAATTGATCATATTACTCTTTGCTTCATTACCCGTGTCATTAACCTGTTTTGTGTTCCACCTATGGGGACGTACTAGAACTGGAGAGCACTGTCCAGATGAGGGACAGGTTTCTTTGCATTCCCTGTGAATGCTTGCCAGCTTCATAAGAAGTTATGTATAGACTTAGTCTCAGAAATAAGGATGAAATCATCTAATGAAAACTAAATGCAGAAATTGGAAGTGACCGCTGTCTTAGGACTCCTGCAAATAGTAAAACATACTGCATGTGATCAAGAGATGGGGTCCTTGTACTCTTACAGGCCAGTAATGTAGTTTTAAAAAATAGTAGCACAATTTATGATATTTTAAAATTCAAATTAGTCCTTCTTAAACGTTTATTTTATCATCATTTCCCCCGCTCTCTCTGCCTGTATTCTCTAGCCCACACACGTTTCCAAGAGTGCCTTTTCATTTTCCCTTCAGTTCTCTGCTTTATAGTTAGGGAATAAGAAATGTCCCACTTGAAAGGAACGTGGTAATTGTTACTAAATTCTCTTGTCTTATAAAAATTATATCTTATTTAATGTTCTTTTATTTTATTTTTTAACTAATGTTCTTTTAAATTTGAATAAGAATTTATCTTAATTTTAATTACTATTTCTTCCTTACTGGTTTATCTTTTTCATTGCTTCAATATTTATTTAAACTTTTTATAATTAACTTTTACTCTACTCTTCAGATATACAGGTATTTTTGTTGTTCCTTTGAGATTCTCTTCCAGTTGTTTTGTTTGTGTGTTTTGTTTTCCTGGAGTGGTGAAGTTTGAACTCAAGGCCTCATGTATGCTAAGCAAGTGCTACACTACACTCTATTTCACTTAGTTTTTTAAGCAATATTAAATATTATTTCTTCACAGGAAGAATTTAGATTCTGAGACATTAAGATCATATTTGAAAAATAATCTGTGTTTGATATGTTCATTTATTTTTATAGGTTCGAATGCAAGCCCTGAAATGCTTCTCTGTTTTAGCTTTTGAAAACCCCCAGGTATCGATGACCCTGGTAAATGGTAAGCTGGAACTTTCAGTGGCACCTTACATGATTTAATTTTTGAACTTTGTAGATTTGAAGAATTTCTTTAATCTTTGTTGTTTGTTTTATGTCTAGTTTTGGTTGATGGAGAATTGTTACCACAGATATTTGTGAAGATGTTACAGAGGGATAAGCCTATTGAAATGCAGCTCACATCAGCAAAATGGTAAAAGTCCAAATGTTGTGGGAAGAAATAGTGTTTTATCAAATACAGAGTATTTCTTTTTAATATAGAGTATTTTTTGGACAGTTCAGTTTGCTCATTTCCAGCCTTCATTTTGCTTTGAGATTTTGAAATTTGAAAGTCATGTGACTTTCTTGTGTTATATTAAATGGATGTGAGTTTTTTATTTTATTACAGTATGCAGAACAGGAACTCTGATATAACATCTGTGACTACAGAAAATTATTCCATCTACAAGTTACTCTCCTCATATTTTGGTTAAATAAAATTAGATCAAATGTAACCAACATGTATTATGTTAAGTAGTAAGGCAGGAAAATGCAAAGATAGAGAAATACGGAGTGAGAATTGCAGTTTCATTATCAGTACATTAACAGATGCACTGAGCACCTATTGTTCAGGGTTCTAATTGTGGCTCTCTAGTAGAGAACTGGGAATTTTCAATGAAGCACTCCTGGATCATGAATTATATTTTATGTTTTAGCGTTTTTGTTTGCTTGATTTTTGTCTTAAATTCAAAACTGAACCTTTGCCTTTGTGAGTAAGGTGATATAGTTTTTTTTTTTTTTAAGTCATAAAAAGCATCACAACAATAATAGCCAGACAGATTTTGGCCCTATACAATATATTTAGAAAAATTTTACTAATATTTGGCATTCTGCTTATATGACTAAATTTCAGATAAGGGAATATCAAAATCTCCCTCAAAATAAATGGTAGGACTGTACTTGATTTTGTTGTTGTTGTTGTTCTTGCCACAAAATTTTAAGGCAAATAATTTTTCTTTTGAAACCTTAAATCTTGCACACAAACTTACTTTCCATCATTTTATTCCAGTTTAACTTACATGTGTAGAGCTGGAGCAATTCGGACAGATGACAACTGCATTGTATTAAAGGTAAGCTAATTAATTTTCTGAAAAACACGAAAATTATATAGTGATACATACGTTGATATGAATATTGGCATTACTATTTATTTTTATACATTTATCTTTATAGTTGTGTGTATAACACAAAATAATATTAAAATACTATTCTTTTCAGTAAGATACCATGTAGTTTTTAAAAATTAGTTTTAGATATATTTGAAGCATCAAAGTGAAATACTTATTTCCTTATCACAATTTTTTCTTTTGCTGGTAATTAGAAGAATGAGGACATTATAAAAGAATGTAAGATTCAGGTGAGATGGAAAATATATTTTAATCTTTGATTTTTCATTCCATTCACTGCACAATCTTGTACACAGTTTGCCAGTTTTACAGATAAAGGCTTCATGTCATCCTCACAGCAATAAAAAGTTTAATGAGACAACAAGTAACATATTAAAACAATAATCATCATTGTAGTGTAACAAATACACATCTGAACTTAAGAAAACCTGGACAAGAGATCATCCCTGAAAGTCCTAAGAACTAAATTCTGCTTTTAGTACCCTCACTACTGACTGGCTTGGTGTCCTTTATTCTTTTGTTCCTGCCTCAGACTACTGATTGTGAAAATAGAGGCAGTAATTCCTGCTCATCTATCTCACAATGACTTTGAGTAGCAGTATATTAAATATTTTATTTGCTATAAAGAACAAAGCAGGTAATTAAACTGATCGTGGTATCATTTCTTGAGTGAATTCTCAGATTATCACTGTCCAAGGGTAAAAGCATATTAAGACTATTGTGTGTTAGTTTTCCATGAAGAGGGTTGATTTACTTCATAAGATCTAAGGGTCTCATAAATAAAGAGCTCTGCATTAGGATGCTGAGGACTGATATACAATTCATTGGTTTATTTATTTCTTGTAACCTTGTTTCATTAGTAGGAGTATCTTCATGTAGTACTTACAAACATTAAATTCAAAACTTCATGAATTTATGGTATCAATAAATATTAGTAACAGTATTGTTAGGAAAAGTGTTAGTGTTCCCTTCTGAAATCTAGAATTGAATATAAAGCCTAATACGAAATCAATAGTGAATGATAAAGTGCTAAATTCTCAACATAATAGAAATTTATAAAACTGCTGAACATACTTGATGTAGTAGTTGAAGAAGGCTTTCTATAACTCTAAACATTTTGATTTCTGCTTTAACATTATCCTTTAAATTGGATTTATCACCCCTAGAAATAGTAATACATGCAATGTTTTTATTGAGAGCCTAATATAGATAAATTACCAAGACCATAGCCAAGATTTCTGAAGGACCTCAGAAATAATATTGAACTAGTGGATACCACAATCATTCCAGCAAGTTCTTGAGAAAACCTAACAACTGTGATAGATGTATTTCACTCACATTTTAGGAGAGTTGTTGGACTCTTGAAAAAGGTAAGATCACTGAATTTTTAAAGTTATACTTTGTTTTTGCAACTCTAGATATTAATCCTCAAAACAGAAAATAAAAGTTCTTTCAACCATCTATTCATTAAGGAAAGGATAGCACTTTTTCTAAAGCAGTCATACCTGATTAAAGTACTAGATTTCTTTTAGGTAAATAAATATGCAGATGCAAAACCATCAGATATGATTGATTAGCAATTCCTAAATGTGTTTTATAAGATTTTCAACAAAACTTCAGGTCTTATCACAAAACTTTTTAGAGCCTCTATTAATTTGGTTGTGTTTTAAAAAATCTCAGGAAATACTTTAATCACAAACAGGACTTCCAGTACAGAACATTGAGTTGATTCATCACTATATCCTCTTCATAAGGTTTTACCTTAACAAAAAGCAAGTAATTCATCTCCCTACCTTTCAGACATTGCCTTGTTTGGTTCGGATGTGCAGTAAGGAACGATTACTAGAGGAGAGAGTTGAAGGAGCTGAAACACTCGCATATCTGATTGAGCCAGATGTTGAGCTACAGAGAATTGCTAGCATTACTGATCACCTCATTGCCATGCTTGCTGACTATTTCAAGTATCCCAGCTCAGTGAGTGCCATCACTGATATAAAAAGGGTATGTTCTCTCTTACTTTTTAGCAGCTGAAAAGAGAATTTTAAGAAATTTTTCTTACTGCTAATGATTTTGAAACAATTGATAATTACAGGTTGGAGACCTTTTAAATAAAAGAATCTTTTGTTTTTGTTAACATAGATAATAATGCTTGTGAATTTTTAAAACCAATTTGTTTAATATTTATTTTCAGGAAATATTTTATTAAGCATATAAGCAGAAAAAAAGAGAGTTGCATCCCTGTATCCCAAGTAAACCCCAAAGTAGTGGGGTGTCTAAACTGGCTATTGCCAGTTATGTCAGCATCACCTAATTCTGTTCAGAATCAGAGAGTCATGTCAGTTGCTATATTTTTGTGCTTTAGGTCAAGCATGATTTCATTTTCTACAATCCACTACAATCTTCTGTGGCTTTTTTCCCCCTATATTTTCCCATTTTCTTTTTTCCATTTTTCAGTTTTATACTGTGATTTGAGCCTGCTAGAGAAGACCAATGCACCATTTACTAGTTTGAGACCACCAAACAATGCAGATTTTTTTTGAAAATAGAAGTTCCTTAGAATTGACAGATACTGCTTTCGCTTGTTGTTTCTCATCTTGTTTCCATGTTCATTTCTGTAAACATGAGAGATTCTGGAGAGGAAGTTTACTTAAGGAGGTTGTGGTAGAGCATTGCTTCTTAATTAGTGGGTACTCAGTACTGTTTCGTGATTGACCTTTTTTGATGCTGGTGGTTTCACTGGATCATTTTCTTGATCTCCCTCGTGCTTCTGAATTTCCTAAACCTTATTTAGCAGGCAGCAATTCATTTAGCACTTAATATTATAAATAAACTATTAAGAATGATCTTTTCTCTGTCTTAGGAAGGGCAGAAAATAACATTGATATTTGTATTAGTAATATGTATTACTTTTCATTTTAGAGTTATATACCTTCAGTACTACTTCCTTCAGTAGTATTGTTTGCTTAATACATGTGATAGAGAAACCCTAACCAGAGCCTCATAAACACTCTCGAGTTTACTTCCTTGACAGGGTAGAGAATGTTTTGCTATACAACAGAGTTGAGGAAACAGTTTTAAGAACTGCTAGCATATGAATGTATACCTTATTTAACTAGAATTTAAGAGATCATCCTTGCTGTTTTTCCATTTCATTTTTACCATAGTAAAACCAAAATAATAATTTTCTTGAATGACCTCCTGTTGCCAGATTTGAGTAAGTTTTATCATCTTTAATTTTGGTGGTAGATTATCCAAGGGGTTTTAGTTAAAAAGTACATAAGTAAAAAGCCTCATCTATTAATAAATGTGTGATTTTTTTTTTCCTGTATTGGTCCAAGTCAGTATTATAATGCATAAATTATGGCTAGAATGTAGTTAGGACTTTGTGGTTACTTTGGAAGTTAACCAAAAATAAGTATAATATGCTGTAAAGCTGCTCCCAACATCTCACAGTACCTAGTTTTGATCAAAACATTTTTGGAACTACTCTTTAAGAATTCCCATAGAGCTGCCCTAAATGAATTTTTATATTCTACTTTGTATTTTGTGGAGTTTTTCTTACACTAAATAATATTATCCAGCTAGATTGTCCTGTCTTCACAAACCACACTCAGTGATAGTTACGTTAAAACTCTTTAGTTGTTGAAGTTATGTAACTGTCAGGTTTTTCTGGCTCATGTGCCAGTTCTTTAGGAAATTTCAAAAGAAGGTCTTAGAATGTTTTGAACATTACCTACAACATGGAATAATGTTAATCTTTCTAGGGTAACTCCTTTGAAAAACAAAATGGTACTCATTTGGATGAGTAAGTTATGGCTTTTAATTTAAATTATATTATTGATAGTATATCAATTTATATTATAATCATTAAATTATAGTCATTAAAAGTACTTGAAGACAAGCCTCTGTTTATTTTCATGGTAGTTTGTGGATAAATCAGATTTATGTTAGAGTTGATAACTTAACCATGTATGTATGTTGAAAGATACTATTAATTGCCTTACAGTAATCTCTAAAAATCCAGAACCACAACAGAAAAAGTGCCCTGAACATAAATGTTAGACAATCTTAATAGATAGTAACAGTTACCATAGAATATTGCTTATTCAGAGTTTTCACAAAACAGTTCTGTTCCCATAAGCTTCTTAAATGCTGAAATTAGGCCAATGCTCTTTATTTAGAAAAACCTCCTGAAAGCATCAGTGGAAGAGCATTCAATTTAACTATCGACTGCTGCTTGGGCCAGAAAGGCCTCTCTCAGTTTGCCACCTTTTTGAGGGGAACATTTCAAAAAGTAGCTGCAAGCAAACACCAGAGCCACTAAAACTACTGTGTGATAACATTGCATTTTTAGGGACCAAGACATTCACGAAGGCTTTTACTATCTCATTGTCAAATCTTGTGGAATTTCCTCTTAGAGGCAGACTGCTTTCAGGTCATGCTAACTCAGACACAGGAAGATCCCAGAGTTACATGAGAAGAGCACAAAAAATAACTAGAAAATTCAATAGCAAAATTAATGTGTTAGTAGTTGTTAACAGATCTTTTCTTCATACTGTTTTTTTAATTGAAAATGTAACTTTTCTTTTTGATTCTTCTATAGCTTGATCATGACTTAAAACATGCTCATGAACTCCGCCAGGCTGCATTTAAGCTCTATGCTTCTCTTGGAGCAAATGATGAAGACATCCGGAAGAAGGTGAGTCTGGGAGAGGGGCGTCCCCCAGTCCTGACAGCCAGCAGGCAGGGAGTGACATCAACCTGAAAGTCGTGGTGAAGAGCACTAACAGTGACTGTTTGAATATAATAAAGCAGAGTGACAAAAGGCATAATTGAAGAATGAATGGGACCTGGATTTGGGGGGTTGTTTTTAGAACATAGAATGGCATGGCCATGCTGGAATGACAAATAACTGACCTGCTTTTTTTGTGTGTCATTAATATGGATTATGTTGCACATTTTTGCATGTGTTCTGATAAAAATCAATTTTAGCACTGTGAAGCTTCAGACACTTTGAAAGACCTAACACTAGAATTGTAAATGTTATTTATGGAAATAACCTTCCAATGCCATTGAGAAGTTAAATCTTTATTGTACGTTGTTCTTTGATATGTGGCTTAGTTTTATGTTTTTAAAATTTTTTTAATTTAATTTTATTTTTTTGCTACTGTGCAAGTTTAATGTGAATAAAATCTTTGTGGAATGATGATTTTATGTTTAGTGAGTGGTCATCTGAATTTTCTAGCTCTTCAAAAATGTGTCATTGGTATAGCACCCTTATAATGCTACAGTCTAGTCTAAACACTGAACTCCTGTTCTTTATAAGAATAATTCTATGTAAGAAGTATAGGGTTCTGACTTGGCTCCCTCTAAAAGCCAAAGGCTGAAGCTTACTACTCAAAAACACTTGTAATCTAATAGTCTACACAAGACATTCAAAACTGTCAGTGAGGAAAACCACATATTTGTCTTTAGGAGCCTTATTTATTGAACATAGCAGTTTACTGTATCTCGCCATCCCTAATGGTATTTTAAAGACCACTAAGAGAGAAATCACAGAATATTGGCATTTACCATGGCTCAGAGAAGACTTCAGGTCTGTTGAAAGAAGCTGACAAAGAACTATCCTTGAAGACACTGAATTAGCAATAAGATTACATCCATGATGAGCTTTGATTTAAAATCAGTGCAAAAAGCACAACTAATAAACTGAATATTTTCCATGTATCTCAACCTGGTTCAGCCAACAAATTTTTGATCTCTTTTGAAGTGTTTTTTGTACTTACCTGTAAAAATCATTTTCAAGACCTCTAAACTTTAACCCATCAATTGCTACTCCGAGACAAACATACAGTAATAGTGATGCAGTATTCCCTATGTCTAAACATGATTTATGGAAATTGAAACTGTTCTATTTTGTGCACTGTAGATATACAGTATATTACAAGGGAAGGGCTTTTATAACTTAAATGCAATGGTTTGTTTTTGGATGATTATTAAGTCCTGTTGGAAACAAAAGTATTTGACCATCCTTACAGCTTCACATGACCATGTCATGAACTATAAGGAAGAGAGACAGATCATAATGGAGGAAATAGGATGTCTATTTGTACTTCTTTGTACTTTTTTTGTTAATAAACTATTGTTTTGGAATTAATGACTTAACTTGTGATATCATGTTCTAGAAATACTTGCAACCTAACAGTCTAGTCAGTAGTCTATTAAAATTTGTATTCATAATATGTATAATTTCCTGGTAAGGGTATCTCCTGATTATTTCTGTAGAAAGATTATAAATAAAGACTAAGTTATAATTATTATAGTTTTTGTGTGGTAAAAAACTGTGATATTCTCATGTGATGGGGATTATATAGTTTATTTAGGGTGATACTTAACTTTTTGGAAATGATATGTTTAATTAATTTACAATTAATAGTATCTACTGAAAAGAGAAGTTGTAAAATGGAAAATATAATTTTGTGATAAAATCTGCCTGGAGACTGATTTTAAGTTTGAAAACACCTTACCATTAGTATATAAAATGATATATAACTTTTCTTTTGAATGCATGTATTTCTATTACATTTTTTGAAAAATAATTATTTGGTTAGATTTTAAATTTACTTTCTCCATGAAATATTTCTCTTATAATATGCCTTATGAATTTTGTATGCCTTTTTGGTATAGATTCTTAAAGTATAGTGTTTATTATTGTTTTATTTTTTAAGATAGTATTTATGCTTGCCCAAATGAAATGTCAGTTAACTAAATTAATCTAAAAGAAATTTTAAGGACTATAGACCCCGCCCTACCTTAGCCACCATCAAAAAATAAAAACAGAACCAAAAAAATTTTTTATTTCACTAGAAAAAGATGAAATATTTAGTTGGTCTACTTTTTATGTTGAAAATGGGAACATAATTTGGTAAATCATATGAATTCCATGCCTGTTATGGCCTGTTAAAGGAAGCAGAACAAAGAAGAAAAACCAGAAACAAAGAGATAATTGGAGGTGTACATACCAATAAAGGAGAAGGACACCAGCCTTTCATGGAATTTTATATTAATATTCTAAGGACTTGTAAAGGCCTCTTATGTGTTTTCATTTCTTGCTATCTTTTTCTTGAACCAGGTAAAATTAGAACAGGTGAAGACTGAATGTGACTTCTAAATTAGACATTTATCATCTTTAGTTTGGAGCAGTATTGGTATAATTCCATGAAAAGGAACCAGCTGTTCCTGGAACCTAAATCAATATTTGTTGAATAGATATAGAAATAAAAATGCAGAACTCATACACAGAGTGATACTTCCTTTAATATCCCTGAATCTGTCTGTATCCTATGTGGGAAAATTGGTGTTGTAATTACTAGCTTTACATCCTTTACTCCAAGGCATACTTGCAAATTTCCTAACTTTCTGATGTCCTATCAGAAGAGTAAAAAGAGGGTGGTGCTGCAGAGTTCTGCAGGTAAGAGTGAGAAGCATTACTATTGGCTGAGACGTGAAGAGGGAGAAGAAATCCAAGATGGAAGACCACTGAGCTTGGCAACAGCGGTAGCTTGACCACTTAGAAGAACTCAGATTACCTGTGATAGTTAATCCTGGTTCTCAGTGGATTGCAGTTAGGGCAAGTAAGAGCATAGCAGGAATTAAGAGCTCAATAAAAGGGTTCAGAACATGATAGCAGTAACTGCACTAACAGCAATGCCAAATAAATGTTAGCTCTCCTCTGTGTCAAGGGAAGTCTAGTTTCCAATGGTAACTTTTATTTACCTCATACTAGTGCTGATTAGAAAGTAGAAATCCAGGTCATGGGACACTAAAAAGGAGAAGTCACAATGCCAAGAATATAGGTAATAACTGTTTCACACACTCGCATACTAGCAAATGGTTAATAGAGAGGTGCCAGTAACAAACAATCCTACAATTTTGAAGCCTTTGCTCTTACAAAGATTGATAGATTGGTACTTCGTGATCATTAATTAGATTGGAAATTGAAAAAGTATGATTTCTCTTTTACTCTCCTTAAGGAACTAATAGAGTTTTTCAGATATAGAAGAAAGGATAATTGAAGAAAATTGATAATAATATAAGTTGAAATACTAGGCAGTTAATGAACTGATAACTAGGATGCTTTTATTTTGATAGAAATACATATTTCAAGTTTTAGATGAAGTATTTGTTGTAGCTTTTGCTCTCCTAGGGCATGTAACAGGCCTGAAAAAAGCTTTCTTTCTGATACTTGATATTTTAGCTTGAGGAATCTTGAAGAACTAGAATGTAAGCTCCATGAGAGCAGGGATTTTTATGTTTTGTTCATTACTATATTCTCAGCATCTACAACACTGCATAGTTGACAATAAATATTTGAAGAATGGATGAAAAAACAAACAATTGGATGAGTGAACCATATTGCATTATTCAGTGTCCATTATCAGATTATATATGATCCTCTTTTTTAATCTCACTAGCAATTCTTTATATAAAAAGAGAAAATTTTAAACAGGGGAAAAATATATATCTGGTCATGCAGATGAAATTTCACTTTTTTTTTTTTTTTTTTTTTTTTTTGGTACTGGGGATCAAACTCGCAATCTTGCACATGCCTGGCAGGTGCTTGTGCTACTGAACTTAATTCCCAGTCCAGAATTTCACTATATTTAACATAGAAAAAAATGGAGAAAATTCCCGTTTTTCAATAGACAGGCAATCTTGAAAGCGTACCTTCTCATTTGAATATAGCTCAAAGGGAGCGTAATTTAATTTCAAAATAATTTTGACCATTTCTTAGTTAGACAATATAGGAACTTTTTTCCCTTTCTCATTTGATTTAAATAATTTATAGGGTTCATAAGAGTGAATCTTGCCTGTATTTTCTATGGATAAAAATGTGCTTTTGTTTATAGAAATTAATCTTTTTAGGATTCATCTCATTCTGTGAAATATTATTGAAAATTCATAAAACATCTTCCTGCTTAATAAACTTCTAGTTTTTAAAGAGGTCAATAATTTAATTCAATTCTACATAGACTGATTGAATTACATTGTCCAGTGGGTGGAAAAGGGGTAGAAGGCAGAGAGGGGAGGTGAAAGAGCCATTAAGAAACCTTCCAACTCAACATTTATTATAAGATCTGAGTAAGTCAGGGAAAAGAAGAAATGACCATTCAGAGTTTGCTGAGGGCTCAAAGAAGTGTTTAAAATGAGTTAAAATATACATGTTAATATCTGCAGGGCTATCTTTGAGTCAATTTGAAATTTAATAGCTCTAGGCGGTCATTTTTAGTGCTTCCTACATGCTTTTTATTTACATTTTCAATAGCCAAAAGCAAAATCTTAAATTTTTGTCCTTTGTGGAAAGAAGAGCCATACAGTCATAGTGGGTTTACCTCATACATGTGGGAAAAGGATGGAATATTTTTTTTGAGAAAATGTCTCACTTCAGCCCAGACTGGTCTCAAATTCCTAGGTACAGTCAATCCTCTTGGCTCAGCCTTTTAATGATCTGGGGCTATAGGTGCCACCACTATTCCCATTTCTTGTTTTTGTTTTTCTTAAACTGAACTACTTTTTAAAAAATGATGTATTGGCAGAAGAAACTAAGAAAAGATAGCAAAGAATAGTAACACTTTTTGTTCTACTCTCTTTTTCTTAGCAAAGTAAGTTATAACTTCAAGGTCACTGTAAGATGAGATA